AAAAAAAAATAAAGAGGTTTCCTAGAGAAAAAATGCAGTACGCTTTGTGAGAGGCTGAGATAATTACTGAGTTCTGAGCGGGACTGCCAGTACTACCTACAAGTAAAATTTATCTTCGTGAGCTGTTTGCAAACGCAAAGTATTCAGAAAGGCCACATAAACATTTTCACATGAAAGGAGTAAATACTCAACTGATCTGGCATGAATTTGCTGAGCAAAGCACAACTTTTTTAAACTCTTCTCAGTAAGATCACAACTGCTCTGAAACAATTTATCATTTAACAACCTACTCTTCTAAATACGTGTGTGTGGAAAGCACATGGAAGTCTGAACAGATTTCCTCTTAGACTGTGCAATCAATACAGAAATCCAACAGTTCCTCTAACACAGTCTGTCGATCTGCCTGACAGATCGATAAGGAACACCGAGTTCAGAACACAAAGGCCAGATGCGCTGTCTCAGAGGCGGGGAAAGACTTGAAGTGCAGATCATGAGCGCAGCCCCCCAGGGATCTGCACCTCGCTGGCTTCCCGGGAGCTCCGCTTTCCGCAGGTCTCAGCTGCTTTGGGGGTGGAAGGGGTTGGTAAGAGCAGCTGCACCACCAGCAGATCCTTGAAGATCTACTGGTTAGGTCCTCGTAGCTGAAGTGGCGACAGGCGCTGTGTACAGCAGGATCCAGACCTGCTGGTGTTTCTAATGGAAATGGGAGCAGCAGGAGTCCCCAGGAGCTGCTGCACTCAGGCTGCCGGTCTGTACCGGTGCGGGAAGTCCGGTGTCCTGATGGTACCAGACTTGCTGCAGGGGCATACATGGATCCCCCTGGTACGTGCTGGACTCAACGTATTTGGGATGCAGAGTAAACCGATGCGGAGAGGGCATTTGCCTGGGAGCTTTGAAAGCTGATCACCAAAAGGTTTGGCAGCTGAGGTGCGAGCGCTGGTGGGTTGGGTACCAGCCACAGCCCTGCGCCGGGGAGATAATTCGGGCCTTCCTCCTTGACTGGCGTGGAAACGCTGCGAGTGGTCAGGCTGTGCCTCAGGGACGGGGAAGAACGACCCCGGTGAAGAGGTTTAGTCAATTCAAACGAGCTCTCTTCCTGCGTTACGAACAAATGTCTTGGGTTCCGTGGCAGCAGAGGCTCTGTGTGGGGAGGGGGACGGCTGCCATGCAGAGCGGTCAGAGCAATAGGTAAAGCACTCTTCTGGTATTCTGTATCAATGTTTTGCAGGCCTGGCAGTGGTCACAGTTGATGCCTACAAGCACTGGATATTCCACAAGTTGAAGACGGAATACTGACTTGTTTACCTGAAGATAATAGGACTTCGGGGTATTTCCTCAGAGAAAATATAAATTTTAATATAATTTCATAAGCTTTGGAGGTTAGCTTGTCTTGTAGCTTCAGTGATATCAAACTTCTTCAAGTAGGAGCTAGATAGAAAGCTGTTTAGTTTTTGCCAGCGTATGTAAAACAAGACTTTTCTATCTGCATTGTAGATTGTTTGTGGACACTTCCAGATTCTTGTGCTTTCTGCAGTCATTCTGGGGACTGAACTCTCATTGATACCGATAGAGGCTCCATGAACAGGACACGTGCAGGAATTTGAGTGTAGAAGCCCACGGTGTGGTTTGGAGTAGTGAACTGCTTTTAGTTTGGAGATGACTGAGGGAGATGGGAGGAGCAACTGTACATTAAGGGAACAATTACAGATCTTCTTCCCGGTGACATCAGACATCAATGAGAGATTTGCCTTCAACCTTCCACAGAAGAAGATTTTTAGCTTTAATTCGGGGACAGTAAAGGGGTTTTTCAAAAGCACTAAAAGCCAGTGGGAGCTTGTTCAACTGCTCCTTATGCCTTTAAAAACCCCTACACCAAAAGTGATAGCTAACAACATGAAATGGAAGTAAATAAAAATGCATTTTCATTGCTGTTTTGAGTTACATAATTTTGTTTCTTAATTTGTTAGTCGATCTGAATGTACATGGATTTGATCTATACAGTGACCAAGAAAATGGTCAGTAACTGGTAAAGATGTAAAGTATAGCCACAAAGCAAGTAACGTGTAGGTGTAGGCCCTAAGCAGCTAACACAGGTAACAAAAGTCCACTGCCCACAGCCGTAAGTCATTTGCATCCACATCTACTGAGCTAAATGGCCATTTCGGCATGTACCGGCAGAAAACAAACACTCCCAGCTGACTAAAAGGATCAGCTCGAGGACACCTAGGACCCAGTCACAGCTAAGACCTCACAGACATCAGCCAGACGTCACCCTGCCCGCCTGGAGCACTGAGCACGGCCCTGCTGTTCTGCAGAATATCGGAGCAAGACCTCCCTTAGCGCCAGGTCAGCTCGCGCAGAGCAGATCGCCCCCGGATGGGTGCGTCCCTCCCTCGAGTCCTCTCTGGCAGTAGCTGCCGTAAGAGATCCAGTGGAACAAGGATCTAACAGAGGGTTTGGATCTGCCCAGGGTACCAAGAATGACTCCCTTCTGTATTCTCTAAGATCAAGGCCACAGAGAGCCCTTACATCATCTGGTTTGATAGCACTGTCAGGGTCTTAATTTCACCCAAGACTCCTGCACAGAGCCTAGCAACTTGTATTGGGCTGAAGTATTTCCTCCAGAAATGATCTGTTAAATCAGAAAGGCATTGAAGCGATGGGGATTACATCACTGGTCTGGTTAGGATTAACCAGTCTCACCATTAAAAATCCATGGCTTGCTTTATTTGATTTTGTGTAGCTTCAGCTTCTACCCCTTGGACAGATATTTGTACATCTCTCTGTTCCATTTCAGAACTTGTTAATATAAAGTATCTCCTCCCTGTAAAGGAATCCAACTGCCTCTTGATCTTCATTGTAAGCTGAACAGACTCGGCTGTAAGCCATTTTCTTCCTCCCTGAAATAATTTTTTATGGCTTTTCATTGCACATTCGCTATTTTTTTCCAACATCTTTAAAAATGTGAACAATGGAACAGTTTGCGAATTTTTAATTGATCTCACTTAATGCCATATGCAGATACCAAAATCATAATCCTCCTTTTATTCATTATCCTGCTCTGCATGGGATGTGCCCGAGATGAGGTAATTTAAAGAAAGAGACCAAAAAAGGGGAGAGAAGGAAGAGGACAAGAGGGAGTGTGCAGAGTTACGGAGTTCACAATTAAAACCACGTAAACCAAGAAAAACCCAATTGCAAATGAACCCTACAAACCAAGACAATTAAATACTCCCAACTCCCCAAGTTTTGGGAAATCCAGCAGCAACATTATGTGCTCTGTTGTTTAAGAAAAGACTTCAGCAGAGCCCTCCCTGTCCTGCAGCTCTACATTGAAAGTGTCGCTGGTTTTTGTGTTTTGAAACTCCGCAGTGGAGGTTGCTTGGGGAAGTTGGGTTCCACGGCAACAAAGCGCTTGCCCATCCTCAGCCCCAGACCCAGACCAGGACCCAGAGGCGCTTCCTCTTGAGAACAAAAACAACAAAAAAAAGCTTTTCTTGACAGTAGCGGAAATAACCACAGGTAGTCAAGGTTGTTCTGAATTGCTATTCCCGTCATACCGACAGCAGGGAGCAATGGATGGAGCTTGGCTTTGTTCCTCTGCAAGTTGCAAGTCCTTCTCCTGTTGGACCAGATGGTGCACAGCAGCTTCGTCCATCTCTAGGGCTGCATCCTGTTTTTCTTCTTTGTTTTCAGCCAGGTTTTGTCGCCCTTTTAATGCGCATGTGCAATGCAAAGACAAGAGTTGAGAGACAGATGAGGACGGGGATTTCTCCCTCCTCCATGCGGTCAGGCACACCGGGCAACGCGCCGTCTCAGTACTGTTAGTTCCCGCAGCAACGTCAGCAGGGAATGCCGCTCATTCCCAGCTGCTGCCGTTGGTACCTTGATCAAATCCCGATGTTATCATGCGTATCTTATGGGTTTGGGAGCTTTACAGTATTTTCAAAGTCCATAAATGACAGAATCCAGTATAAAAAAAGGTCAATATATTACTGTTGAAAGTTTTTTTTTTCCTTTTTTTATACAAAAATTAAAAAGATCAAAATATATCACATTATTTACAATTGTGCTTCATGCTTATAGATCACTGAAAAAGAACACACAGAAAAAATGTTTTAGTCAAAGGGAAATGCTCCATTCATTACACTTATTAATCTTACTGTTAATATTATAAGGACTGGCATTCCAATTTCTTTCAATATCAACAGTACATCCAAATGACTTACCACAGAATGAAGGATTTTTATATGCTAAGGGCGTGCTCACATTCTAACTGAGGGTTTGCAACCAGTCGATAACATGCTCGCTGTTAACTCGAACTGTGTCCACATGCTTGAAACTGGGTTAGTAACTGCCCTCGGCTTCAGTGCCATCCCCTTGTCGGAGGATGAGGTTACAGCATCCTCCTACAAGGCTGGATCAAATCCTCATCTCACTGGGGGACACGTCTCTCCTCATCCTCCCAGGCTGCCTTTGGCACCTCCAACCCCTGGCTGTTCGGGATGCGAGGCAGATTTCCTGGCTGGAGCCAGCGTAGTGGTTGTGGATCGTCATTACAATGGCAGAAAAGTCTTTGTTTGGAAAGAAATGTTTTGTAACTCTACGGCAAAGAGGTAACCCGCTGTAAAAGTCTCGGCTGGAGGGCGTGGGCTGAGTCACCCCAGCACATATTGCAGAGTGGTGCAGTCTTTGCACAAGTGGTTCTTAAACTGCCCGGGCTGTGAGAAAAGCCCAGCCTGAGCAAGCCTGGCAAAAGGCACTGCTGCCGACAGGGCGGACAAGAGCGGGTTTTCATGCTCAGCCAGGTTTTGGAGCCATGTTCCCATCGCCAGTCCACAGCTGTGGGGAACAAGGCGCAAGGCTGGATGGACTGCTGCTCTCCTGGGCGTGCAGCTTGTGGCTTAAAGGATGTGCAGCCGTGCAAACAGTCACTGTGCAGCAAACAAAATTACTCAGGACCTCAGGATATACTATTATTATTATTATTATTACTGTACCTTGTGCCAACATCCTGCTACTGGCAGTCCGTCTGGTCCCTGCAAAATGGAATTTACAGATTTAATTTCTGTTGACCCTGACTTTTTAAGTGTCAGACCCCAAAACCCAAAGCTCAGCCTTCACAACGACGGAAGGTTTAGCAGCACCATTAATTACCATGCAAAACCCATTTACTGTAGATGCACAAAAATAAATGTGCAGGCAATGTAATCCGTGTGTCACAACACAAAATTGAAGACAACCCAGGGTAAAAAAAATAATAAATAATAACCCCACACTTCCTTTTTCCTTTAAACAAAAAAGAAAATGTGAACAAATATAACAATTTGGAACCACAGTTAATTAACTTCATAATCTGCTTTGTAAGGTAGTGGTTTTTGCAATCAGACATCTGTGTGGAAAGCATGATGTGGAAATGTATTTTTTTGTTAATACGTGCTTTTTGGCTTGGGGGCAGTGATGTAGTTTTTTTTTCCCCCCCGGATGATATCCTAATTGTGTTAAATTCGATCCTGCAGTACTTAGTTTCTTTAAGAAATCTTGAGTTGCCGAACTGATTGACATAGGATGAGTTGTGGACTATGCAAAGGGAGTGAAAATATTTGTCTTTTTCTGATGGAGATAACAAGAAACGTACAGAAATGAGAAAGCCAGAAGAGCTTACTTACCAGGAGGAAAACCCTGAAAAGGAAGGAGCCCCTTAGAAGAGGAATGGACTATGTGTGACCAACTCTTTCAAGATACTTTAGAAGAAATAGCTGATTCAGCTGCCTTTTCTGATGCTGGATTTTTTAATGGGTCTTGGATCTCTGATCACATGACGTTCTGCCTGTAGAGCTACAGAGAGCACACGTGCACTGACCCTTCCCTCAGAGCCACCTCCAAATTAACTAGGGGTGGGAAGCCTCGAGGATGCGTACGCAGCGAGACAACTGCTAGCGCAAATACAGGTCAAAATGCATTTTTACATTTTTTACTGTAAATGTCAGTCATCACATTTTTTGTATTCTGTAATTGATTTTATATGTAAAATAGCCTATGCCCAATAAAACAGATGCAGTGAAGTAAGGTTACCCTCTCCAGCTACTCGTAGTGTCACAGGTCAAGTTATTTTCACATGCTTTCCTATAACATTAGTCAGAAAACATACACATTTTTCTGCTGGGACCAGTCAGTATTTCTGATCACAGCTATTCATAAAAAAAGGCAACACTTGCACATTTGCCAGAGCTGTCTGGGGGTGAAGGGTAAAGGGGACAGAGCGCAGAGCGCTTGTTTGACCTAGAAGGGTCCTGACCCGCTGTTAAAGTGCATCCTAACACCGATGGTCACGGCGTTGGGTTCTGCCCTGGGCAGCTTCTCCTTCCCCTGTGCTCAAAAAACTTATTTTGGCCATCAGGAACCTCCAGGCCTTCCCATCACGTTTCACCTGAGTGCCTCCAGCACGACTTGTCAACTTAAAAAAGAGCTTTTGCAACCTGCGTGTAAGGCTCGTGCTCGTGCTCCGGGAGGGAAAGCCATCGCTGAGCACCCAGCAAACCCCCACCGCACGGAGGAGGAGGACAACACTCCCAGCCAACATGCAACTCACCCTCACGTACCCAAGCAGGAAGATGTCCACGTGCTTTACTAACTAGTCACGTAGTAGTTACGTACAGGAGAAATCACCTCCTGCAGTCTGTAATGCCTTCAGTACAGATAGGTCTATACAGTTAAGATGGGAGATACTTGGTAAATACATCATCTCTGGGGAGTAAATACGAAGAGTTGAAGCGGGCCTGCTGCTAGTAATTGGTTTCTTTGACACATATGAAAGTAATTTAACTTTTTGAAAGAGACACAGCTTACTGCCCTTTTGTTTCTCTGCAGACAACTGCAAATCATCTAACATGCAGCATTTTCTATGGTTAAAAAAATGAAAATAAAACAATGACCTCTTTTAGCTAGTCCTGCAGAGCCCTTTTGGGGAGCAGAGCACGAACCTTCCCGCATAACCTCCAGGCTGGACTTCAACCTGAGCTCTGCGGGGCACAGCTACATGCTGATATAGCAAACGCCCTGCTAATGCCCAGAGTGACCCCCACTCCGCAGAACTGGCCGTTCATTCGGGGAAAGCTTTTCCAAACCCAGCTGGGAATCGGCCTCACGGGGCTGCAGCAGCACAGGCACGAGGGGAACCCAGCAGGGCCATAGGTGCTGAGAGAAACCAGAACTAATTTTTAGCATTTTTATCCTAAAGGGCCAAGCATCCCCTACGTGATCTCCCGTTGCTTATGCTCCTTATCCAGTCATTTTAACTGGGAGGAAGAAGGCACAACGCGTTGGCATCCTTCCCTGAATGCCAAAGTGAAACATCTTGTTCCAGCTCTCCTGCCTCGTGTCCTTCCTCTCCCTGGAGGGATTTGCTTCTCGGGACAGGGCTTGGCCACAGCAGAAACACACACAAGCCATGCAAGAAAGAAAGCGAGCAGATACTGTACCAGAGGGCAGGGCATGCTCACCCCATCCAGGCCTGGTAAACCTGGGTCCCTTTTGCTGCCTGCAATGCTACGATCTCCCTGTTTGAAAAAATAACTGCTTGTTGAGAATGATACAGGACACGGGAGTTACTCAGATGGACACCCGTGTTTTGGCAGAGGAGGAGGAGGATGGGTCCGGAACTTTACACCTCCATTTCTGATGACACAGCAGAAGAAGTTTTATGGTAGGGAATTCACAGACACGTAGAGTCTGTCATCTGGGAAAGATCTTCCGTACACAAACCAGAAATTCATGTTTGTAACAGAGCAGTGAAAAAGATGAGGGTTAAATCATCCAACATGTTGAGGGAGGAAAGGTGATCCATCAGAAACGAAAAAATTAATTGCAGTTTACATTCAGTCTCCAAGCAAAATAAAGCATATTGAGCGAAGGAGCTTTTTGCTGGTACAGTGGAGCTATGTAACAGCTTTGATCGCCATAGCTGTGCCAGTGGGGCAAGAAAAAGTCACACATTTAGACAAGAAATGGGTTTTTGGAGCATGGTGAAGCAGGTACCTGGCACTACTAGTTGGATACCTCTGAACTAAGGTCTAACAGCTACATTTCAGTAGTTTCAGTTCAATAGTTGATACAAATCACTTTTCCTGCAGCCTCAAAGCATTTTAGGGAAAGGAGAGTTCTGCTTTTAGTCATTATATGAAAAACAGTAATGAAAAGGAGGTAAATTGTACCAGGCCAAATAACTTCTTATAAACAAATATAGATTTTTTTCTCTATCAAAGGAATGAGAGCTCCTGGAAGTGGACTTGGGAGATGCACCTTCCTCAGGCTCAAACACCCGTGAAGTTTCCTGGAAAGCCCATCTGTACACACTGTACAGCGGTGGCCCGGGACGTGTCTGACAAGGGACAGACCTGAGCCACAAGGTGCTATCTCGGGCAGAGAAACACGAGGAGGTCTCTCCTCCCAGGGGCGTTTCTTTGCAGCCTGGGGAGCTCCAGCTCACACATCGCTTCTCTTTGGCAGTACTAAGATGGTATCAACTCCGACCCACGTCCCCACAGAGCAGAGCTAGAGCCAGGCTCTTCCCTTGCTCAGTTTGCAGAGATGAAGGGATGGAGCTGACCTGGTTTTCGGCTCCCATCCACTGCATCGAGTTACTCCCTGATTTCAAATGCACTCCAAAGCCAGGCCGGCAGCTTCACCAGGGCATGCTATCTCCCGAAGAGCGTTACTGAAGCCCATTGTTCCCAACTACAATAAGAAGGTCTTCACACAAAGATTCTTTATTTTTACTGCTGTGGCTCACTCCCATCTGGCCAGTGAGGAGCCCTTACAGCGAGCAGTGAACTTCCAGCAGTGCAGATAAAACAAACCATTAAGAAAAGTGAGAAAACAATAACCATCTGCTCTGATTTACTGCAAAATAAAGAACTACCAAATCCTCCCTCCCTTTCCCTGCTGCAAAGCTGCGTCTCCTCTTCAGTCCTGGCAACGCGCGCTTAGGGTGAGTGAAATAAAAAGACGTACCACGGGACAAGGCTGATCCAGTCCGGGAGGGCCTGGTTCCCCCTTCTGCCCTTTGGCTCCTTTTCTCCCCGGTATTCCTCGCTCACCCTGTTGGCACAACAGGAAAACGTCAGGAACAGGAAGGGCAACACCTTGGCTTTAAGTCACACAGCACTTGCAGAGTCCCACATCTCACCCTGAGTAGGAATGTTTGCACTACTGTAACCTCAGCTGAGTGATTAAATCACTGTGAAAATCTTCAGTTAAAGCTGGGGGGGGGAGATATTTAATAGATAGTTTTATAAGAGAATGACTAAATAACTGCTTTCTGCTAGAAACCAGGTTGGTATCTGACAGTTAGTGGGAGCACCAGCTTCCAGCCATTGCCCTGCGCTCAGCTGGGCTTCTACCTCCGGCTGGGCACCCTGTTATTTAAGGGTCCCTGTAACAAAACCTTTGATTTGGATCCATTTTCAAGGTCTATAAACCAAAACTAGCAATTCTTTGCAACCTGGAGCTGTCAGGCTGCTCCAGTTTCCCACAATGGCTGTGCTGGGGGTGGTGGGGACAGGCTTCCAGAAAGCACTTCCAAGCGGGTAGGAATTAACTGCATGTCCTGCCCTACACTGGGACCACACAAATACTTGTGTCACTGGAAAGACCTTACAGCAGTGACCCGAGAAGCACTGCCAGGCTGGAGAGGGAACCAGCACCCAGGGCAAGCATCGCTGCCTGCTGAAAAGAGCAGCCACTCCTGCCCCCACAGGCATCTCTATAGCCATAACCCGCTCACCTTCTCGCCTCTTTCACTTCTCTCTCCTTTCTCTCCTCTGAGACCTGGGAAACCCTATCGTGGCAATTTTTAGGTTGGGGGGGAAAAAAAAAAAAAAAAAGGTTTTAAGTTTAGTATGTGAACATCCCAGCATCTCTGTTCAACTTAAGCAACCTCCGGCAATCAACCAATCCTCCCATGGCGACAAAGATGATGTTTTCTTCCTGTTGACTGGGTATGTCAGCCATTTCTTGGGAAAGCTACTGCTTTACCATACCCCAGTAACAGCTATTGGAGATTTTTGTTTCACTGAATCCAAGACAAATATTCTCAGTTGGGAAGGGAAACCCCAGTGGCATCTTCAGCTGAGCAGTTACCACCGTGCCGTGGAAGTAGTCTGGCAACCGGCCTGAAGTAAGCCCTTTCCTACAGACATCGTTCCACGTGCACCATGTGTAAGGGAGGGTAGTCTGTACAATGTGAGCTACGTATTTTTCTGACAATCTCAAGCAATCTGATGGCCTTTACATGCATGTTGTTCATGTTTCTACAGAGCACAATTAATGTTTTTCATACTCACATCCAGTCCTGGCTCCCCCGGCTTTCCCTGCAGTTGTAAAAATAAAAATTAAGACATGCCACATGGAGTTTGGTGTTGCAGGCAAACTTGCATCCAGTTGGTGAAATCCAGTAGCGACAGCACGGGCTCACCCAACAGCCCCTGGGCTTTGAGGGCAGCTCCTCACCATGCATTGGGATAACGACAATAAGCCCAGCTCTGCAGTTCTGGCTGGACCCACCGCAGCAGGATTCTACAGCCCCTATTTTAGGGTTACACCACATCACTGCTCCTTTCCCCCACCGATGATTACCTTCTCTCCTTTGGTACCGGGTAAACCGATGAGCCCTGGAGCACCCGGGAGACCCTTAAAGAAAACAGGAACAAGGTGTTGGGATAGTCTCTGTGCTTCTGTCAACCACCAGAACTGCAATGGGGAGAACGACTCACAGCGGGTCCGGTGTCGCCGTGATCCCCCTTCTCACCGCTGTCGCCTTTTTCTCCCTTCGCACCGTCCAAGCCCTGCATGAAGGAAACGGCATCAACCAAGGCGACCTGGCAGCTCTGCGCCCACCGCTCCATCCTACCACATCTCTGGGATGCTTGTACCCGCGCTGCTGGGAACATTTTCCTCCTGACCAGACCATAGGAGAAAATAGTTGAAAATACAGGTTTAAGCCTGTGGGTTTGGAACCCCTGACTCGGATGTGCCACTGGCCCTTAGGACTCTGTGCTGGAGAAGGGTTTAAGATTGTAAATGTGTTTAGAAGGAAAAATGGCTTGTTTTCCAAACAGCACAACCAAGGGATGTGTTGTCACAAACAGTGACAAAAAAATCAGTCCCCAGAGCTGACAGGCCTTTGTGAGCCTGTAAATAATGCACTGGCAGCCTGGAAACAGTGGGTGACATTTAATTTATTGACTTACTTTAGGCCCCTGGATTCCTGGAGGACCCTGTGGGAAAGACAATGGTGCATTTGAAAACCAGAATGTAAAAAACAAACCCCAAAGTTTGCTTCCCAAACCAGTTCTCGCTCAAATTATGGGCTGACAATGGCCAAACAGTTCTTTTCAAGACAGGTGGCGGTTTATTTGGTTCTCCGACGTCAGCTCAGGGGGAAGAGGAACTGCAAAGGACCGCTTTGCGTAACACGCAACAATAAAGCTCTGCAACACGAGCTTTAGGGAGCGAGCACTGCGAGAGCTCTGCTGAAGGAAGTGACAGCAAGCTCCGGAGGGCAGCACCGTGCCACCGCAGCCCTCCGAGCCCGGGCAGGGCTGGGGACACTTCCCGGGTTAGGAATGCTGCCCGGAAAGCCGCGGTCTCAGAAAGTGCGTCTTGGACACATCCTGACCTTCCTGATGGCCTTGACAGCTCCTCAGCCTTTTGGAGCATCGCAGGTACCAAACACCTCAGATACCTGCATCAGAAGTGCTCCGTGTGTTCTTCACCACCCGCATCCTC